CTAAATAATACTCTTCAATATATTGAATTTTTTATATAATTTTGAACATTCATTAATCTACTTCAATGAAACTAAAATTATAATTCAATTATAGCATTTATTTTAAATTGTCCCGGCGCCTTCACCAAATTTTTTAAGAATTTTTTAACAATTGTCGATAACTTTCGTATATATGTGTGAATGTCTTATTTTCGCCATGAAACTAACTGCATCAGTAAAAAAAATAATTTAAATAATATTAATGCGATGGTTTTTAAAATATCGGTTTAGAACGCCCATCAACTTCTTGTATGTAAAAACAATCGTGCAAAAGCTTAATATATTAAGTTCGAGAGTTTCGAGAAAATTTGTAACTATTATAGATAAAATATAAGAATTTTTGTAAAATTTTCAAACGAAATAATTAAATATGATGTGATTAATATTTTGTCTATGTGTAGTCTCAAAATTGCATAACAAAATTAAATTGTACGAATAATCTTGAGATAATGGATTAAAGAAACTAATAAGTAAGTTTCTGAAAGCTTTATATTAAATATTAATATATGAAGATTAATTTCCATTTCACAGTTTCAATGGTATTCAAATTTAAAAATTTAAATTGAGAAATGGCTGCTACATGCGCCATCTGTGAGCGAATTGCCAAACTGTACTGCAAACAATTATGTTGCCTACAACTAAATAGCTTCTTAGGTAGTTAGTTTGGCACTTCGATTGCAGGTGGCACCAGTGTAAGTTTCTTATGTACAGTGGTGCACTTATGGAATTATACGTAAACGTTTGCTGCAAGAAATCCAGGAGGCAACTCAGTCCCATCAGGTGCGAAAGGCCCAAGAAAAGTCCAATTCCATAAGCTCTTTCTTCCAACCAGATTACCCNTTCGATTGCAGGTGGCACCAGTGTAAGTTTCTTATGTACAGTGGTGCACTTATGGAATTATACAGTATATACGGTTGGTTGCAGAAGTAATTTTAACAATTTTTTTTGTTATAAACATAATATTATTGCATATATTACGCCATCAGGTAGATCACTTTGGTTAAGAATAGTGCATTGGACGAATCGTATTATAAAATTATATGTTAATAAAGTGAAATGTACGCACCATATGAAACGATAATATTAGATTACTAATACATAAATGAGAAGGGGGGTACAGGGGCATGAAGGTAGAAACCTATTAGAAATCATACGGCTATTAATACATTGAATAATTCGATTAGACATTATTAGCTCTAGATGTTAGAAGGGTCTGGTGAAGGTGTAGGTGTAACGCGGTAGGCTGTATAAGCAGGTAATTATTATTAAATAAGTTAGAATGTGAAATTAAGTGCCTGGGGAACTAAGATTCTTGATGAAATTTCAAGTTTCAGTTCCTTCAAGCTCCATTAGCGCGTGTGATGGGAAATTTTATCCCAAACCTCTCGCTTTTATAAGACGATATCGGAGGCTTTCAAATATTCAAACATTGTAAGGGTGTTATATGTTAGAAAATTCAAATTTAATCGATAAACTTCCTCGACGCAGTTTTCTTTGCTGGTTTACACTAACTTACTTACGATAGTGAGTATGACAAACAGGGGAAAATAAAGAAAAACTTCCTCATTAAGTAATGAAAACTTGTCTGACGATATTAAAACAAACTTTAATTTATTTTCTGTTTCATTATTGTCAGTTGTGGGATGCACAAGTTTCACTTACTATATTGCAGCGTTTTGCTAAAGTGGCTTCCTTTGTTTTAGCAAATTGCCTTGCTAAGTAAGAAAACACTTTTGTTTCGCATTCAACATTATACTTAACAAACAAGGCCGTAGCTGGTGCATCTAGCTGGCTTTTCACAAGAAACTAACTAAGGAAATGAAATTGGATAAGAAGAATGTGTTTAAACAAAAACAACTTCGAACGATGCTGTTGCTTATTCCGTTGCATTAAATTGTTTTCCAGAGATACAACGTCAAAATGAACTGTACTTTAGCTAATACATAGTAGAAATAGATACAGACAAAAAAATGGTATTATGTACAATGGAATACTATTTTTAATAAGTAAATAATAACAAGAGAATTTTATAGTTTGGGTCATGTACATGTAAGGGAAAACGTTTACCGAACATTAAAGTAACACATTTTTTCTTTTTCTACTACGTTTATCTAAAAATACATCCCGCTTTTCTGAAAACTGACGTAAATTAAGTGAACTTTCAAAATCTTTTGAACAAGGCGCAATACCCCTAAAAACACAAGTAAATTGCATTTATTCGACTCTTTATTACTTTAAATGTATTAGATAGAATTAAAGCACAGTTAGACTTAAAGAAATGAAAGACACAAGAAACAGAGAATAAAGAAATTGAGTAAGTAAACTTTGTACGTCATAGGATTAAAATTAATACATGTTTGAGAAGAAAATGCTTGTACCTAAAGGTGAACTGCCTGTTCCTGCTTCTTAGAATTCTGTTAAAATTGAAGCGTATGGTTTATAAAGTTAAGGGTTGATTTTCTTTAAATAATTTCGGTTTTAATTTTTTTGTCGTTGTGCCTCGGGGTGAAGGACGAGCGGCGCGGCGTCACGTAGTGGGTAGATAATCCATTTACGATAAACTGTGGTATACGTTGGGACGCGACGGCTATGACGCCGGGCGTCGTCGTCATCGTCGACGACGGCTATGAAAAACGAACGCCAAACTACAAATTGCTACGAAACGTAATTGGCAGATATGTTGGGAAAACAGGTTTGTAAGCCTTCGGAAAGTTTCAGCACTAGAGGTTAAATCAGATTAGAGAAAAACAGCCCCGTAGACGTGGGGTTGGGACTTTTTTAAACATTCTTTAGATTCCGCTAAGCCAGGTAATGCACTCACCAATATACGCTCCAGTTTATAATTAAATTCAAATACCTACTGATTATAAAGTTTCATCTCAAATATGCAAATATTTAAGTATATAATATATAAAAAGGCAGCGAATGAAATTCTAGTTAGAGGTTAAAACCGTAGTTTTGTTTTAACGCGATGAGAATATAGAAAATTTAACCCTTAACGAAATACAGACTAGAACCTTAATAACTTAAACCTCAATAACGTAGTAACCTCTATAAATTCATAAAATTTTGTGTTCCTTTCCCCTCGGAGTCCAAACCCTTCACTACTTAAAATAACAACCCTTTATAACTTAAACGAATAACTTGGGCATCGTACCTCATTAAACAGTGAAAAGTGGTTTGAATCGGGAGAAAGTCTTCTATGTAAAAGACTAAGAATTGCTGAATTTCCTGATTTAGAAAAATGCTTGTTACATGGTTTAGACAGTGTAGAAATATATAAAAACATTAGTGTTAGTGGACTTATACCAAAGGAAAAAGCTGAAGAGTTTGCTAAGTCACTTCATCATCATCATCATAAGGTCATCAGTCCTAAGACTGGTTGGGCACGTACCTCCACTCTTTCCTATCCTGAGCTAAACTTCGCATTTCCCTAAAACTAGAACAGCCCACATTCTTAACTATTTGCGAACAGTAATCTAATCTAGGTCTACCTCTACCCCTCCTAACTCCTGTTTCTGCCTCTAATATGTCTTTGACTAGACCTTCATGCCTGAGAAGGTGTCCTACCAACCTATCTCGCTAAGTCACTTGGAAGTCATAATTTTAAAGCTTAAATTTAAATCCTTAGTAAGTAGAAGCCTCAATAACACAAATTATTTTACGTTTCCCTTGGTCTTTATCTTACCGAGGTTCTACTGTAAATGATTCGTAATTTGTTTTCCAATTTGAACACGCAAAATTAAGCTCTTTAGAGTGGTTCAAGCCAATCTAAATTTGTATGATATGAAAGAGAGGCAAGATGTCGTAATCGAAAGGGAAACGGTTCATAATTAAAAATCAAAGATGGTTTATGGCAAAGTCTGACACGTCAACTAAAGTAAACTTTGCGATGGATAGAAATGTCATGAATTTGTCAGTAAAACCTTGTTACACCAAAGAGTGGCCAATGGAACCTCACACAACTGGTACATCCATAATGGCTGTAGAATTTATGGATGGAGTGGTACTCGGGGCTGATTCAAGATCGACAACCGGCGCGTACATTGCCAATAGATACAGTGACAAATTGACCAAAATTACCGACAACATTTACTGTTGTCGATCCGGCTCTTCGGCCGATACCCAAGCGATAGCGGACGTGGTGGCGTACACTTTAAATTTTCATCAGTCCGAACTCGGGGAATTACCCTTAGTACAGAATGGGGCTGCCATCTGTCGAGAACTATGTTACAATTACAGGGACTCTATTTCCGCTGGAATTCTCTTGGCCGGCTGGGATAGACGAAAAGGGGGACAGGTGTATTCCATCCCCGTTGGAGGAATGTGCTTGAGGCAATCTGTGGCTACGGGGGGGTCAGGATCGAGCTACGTTTACGGGTATGTTGACGCTAATTTTCGACAGAGTATGATGAAAGAAGAATGCGTCGAGTTTGTTGTTAAGACGTTGAGTCTTGCCATGGAAAGAGACGGTTCTTCGGGAGGAATCGTTCGATTGGGAATTATAAACGAGGACGGAATTGAAAGGAGAATTTTTCAGGGGGATGAACTGCCCAAATTTGATAAATTTACTTAGGATGCTAAAAGATATTTGTAATCTGTAGTTAGTATCTAAATAAATAAGACTTGTAACAAATCATGACTACTTCTGTATCGAGATTTAGAATCGAAAGAGATTATTAAAAGTGTAGGTGTGAACTCAGGATAGGAAGGAATGTGAAGGTAGTGTTCGGTATCAAGTGATTTCATGTGTAATCATAACTGAAATCTGTTTCAACAAGAAATAAAACAAATGCTTCTAACAGATGTTACCCCTTGGACCCAGAATAGAGAGGACTTTATTATTGCTGGGGACAGAGAACCCAGGACCTAGACTAAGGAATTCCTCGATATCTTTCGAAATGTCGGTAATATTGCTTAAATTAACTAGATATCACGGAATTCCTTAGTTCAGGTCCTGAGTTCTCTGCATCCCTGGATCTGGAACTCACGGCGAGTTTTGAAAACATTCTTAACCTGAAATATTACTAGGTTCATTCCTTTTTCAATTGATTTGCATTGACCGATTTGGTTTCCATTTACGTATGCTTGGTCACAGTGTCGATGATCACCTGGACACCTGAGCTAGTCCGGCCCTGCATAAGACTATTGCTTAAAATTTTGGCCCAAAATATGAAACCGAAGACAATAGGGGGTAGATATACAGTATTTTGTCTTGTACGTAGTTAGTTTTACGTCTCCGTTGTTTAGTTTATTTCCTATAGCGCATAAATTCGCCAACAGAATTTGGTCGAGTCGTAGGTAGCATAAATTTAGATATGGAAATAATTCATCTATTGTTCGGAGTCGACTGCAAACGCGGCACGAAACGCAAACTTTGTTGAATGTAACCTCACACCTCGACATAAATTCACGCTGATTCTGATGAAAATTTAGCGCAATCTACTCCATTAAAAAAGGAGAAAAATAAGCGACCCTGTTTAATCTGCAACACAAGAAACTTCAACAGCAGTAGGTACTACAAAACCGAAGCGTTTAAAATATTTTAATCTAAATGCAGCGGAAGTTTTACATAACTAAAAAGCTCACAAAGTTTGCCATAAAAAAAATACTGATCGACTCGTGGAATTGGGGAATCTCTCATTGAAACACTATTAAGGCACTTCAAGCACCACATCCCCCAATATTTATTTCAGTAATAATCTTGGAGGTAATGATGACGAAGAGATCTTCAAGATTTAACCCTCAAGAGTATGAAACGGGAAAAATAAATGATATCATACAACCACTTAGCATTAAGTTTATATTTGCTATAAGAAACAATCGATTCATCATCAGTTTAATATTACTGTACTTTTCCGTACATATGTGCCTTTCCGTCAAATATTACCACATCTTTCTACAATTGCCATTTTTGTCTGTATGACATCTTCTCGGGACCTTCACGATGTGTCTACCAGCATTATCAGGAACCGGAACATTCTCAGTGCTGTTACCGAAATCATCAGAAGACGGAGACGTTCCAGAAGAGGTGCTCTTAAATCCTATCAAAACAATTTCATGTATCATGACGTATATATGTGCGAAATTATGTACTGAAGTTGTGTAAGGCATGTAGATGATAAACGATTAATTATAATGCATAAAAAATTATAAACAAGTACGTAGATAGCACATAATTAATATACCTTCGGTTGTGGTTGATGCAATTTCAGCTTGATCAGTGGTATTGGTAATAAAAGTTCGGTAATTTGATTGTTCTGGTTGAAAACGAACATCTACTTTGATTTCAGTACTATCGTCATTTTTAATGTCAGTTTTCTTGTTGGAATCTGTAAAAATATTCCTATTGTTAGCGTTTCTTTCCGCTGATGAAATGTAAACCCCCATTGTAGTTTCTGAACTTATATTGTCGGCTTCAGTGACAGCATTTATACGGTCTTTATCTGTTATGTGTCCTTTTGGTTCTTCCGTGGTAGTTGTTATAACATCCCAAAAGGTTTTGCCATAATTTCCATGGCCCTGATGGTGGCCAGGTTGACGATAGCGATGTCTGTTCGGTCGAAACGGTGGGGAAAACGGATTATCAACAGGGGAAAGCGGCCGGAATAGGAAAGGAGACGAAGATGTTGGTGATGGTGTCATCCCTGGCATAAATCTGAACGTGTCGCTAAAGTGTGGCGATCTTCTATGGCGTACCTGTACCATATTATTTAAATCTTTGGCACCGTCTTTATATGACGTTTCTTCACAGTTCACTATCGTTGTCAGTAAAGTTTTTACAAGAATTAGAAACACAATAACTTTGTAATGCATCACTGTATAAAGGATTTAACGGAAATTGACAACCAAACCCGAACTGAATTTGTTCTTTGTTTTCTATTTTTGCAAAGAAATCTTAAATGGAATGTTATTAATGTTAAATATAAATTGTAAATAGATCTGCAGATGATGACGTTCACACATTCGATATTTCTTGATTCATTTTGCATTTCACAATGCGATAGATAACCTTTTGATATTCAAGTTTATACGAAGATTTTATCATTTATGTTAACATTTGCTGGAAAATCCTAACAAATATATTAAATGCGAATGGGTATTTGTTTGTTTGTTTATTACGATTTCACGCCTTAATTACTCAACCGATCATAATGAAATTTTATACACACATTGTCAGGGATACAGAGAAGGACATAGGGTACTTTTTATCCAGAAAAAATACTGCTTCCGAGAGATAGACCCCTACGCGAGTGACTGTTATATGAAAGTCTTTATTCTTTAATTAAAAATTGTCCATTTAATTATACACATAATAAATTCCAAAACGAGAAAATTTCATTTAGATTGTTTGTTTATCTATTAATTATTTTATAAGGTGGATTATCTGTATTTTGATCCAGTTACCGCAACGTGTTCAGCAATTTGTGTATTCTTTCGATAAATTATGCTTATCTTATAATTCGACACAACGAAACAATTAATTAATTAAAGGGCCGGAAGGTACGGCGAAATTATTCCCGTTTCCCCAGTGAAAGAAGGGATAGAGAAGCAATTAAGTTAAATTAACTGGGATTACAGAAGGATTACCGAACTAAAGATACTTCCCGTTGCTTTCGGCCAAAATCCAAATATTACTAGGACGAATAAATACGGNAAATGTAAGCAGCTTAGCGGTTGATCAAAGATATTTAGCAAAACTTGATTATTATTTTGTACAGACATATTTTGTACAGGTAATTTAGAATCTTGTGGGCCATAACCTTGGGTTAGTCGGCGACAAAATATTAACCGTGTGGCCGTCATCGTTTACATGATTAACACTTGAGTCAATGGTCTCGAAGTGTACAATACGAAGCAAGAAAAAGGTTCGGTCCGTCCCTCGCTTATTTTGCGACCCATGACATTTTAAGATACCTCTAACATTCTTATCTAGTATATTTCTGGTAATATCTAAGGAAGGATTGTGTTGAATATTTTAAGAAAACGTAAGAGGTGACCATTAATTTTGGATTCCTATTTTTAAAACAAAAACTAAGCTCAACCTGAAATTGGATCATAAACTGTCATTTAGACCACTTTTAAGTGAAATTCATACGAAAATAAATTAATGAGCTTTTCCATACCCTAATTAGGTAAAAAATTTTTGTTGTTTTTGTGAGATATAATGTCTACAATGTAGATTTTAGGGAGAAGTTACTTAGTAATGTTCAGGCAGTGTTTTTGGCAGTAATAATTGTTGAAACTAATGATAGGTGAGCATCGACGCAGGTTTTAATTATTTTTAGTTTGCGAATTCCTAAGAGCGCGGCGAATATAAATAAATAAATTGCAGAATACTTGATATAAAAATGTAGTTTGCTATTAGGTCAAATCGCAAATAACGTCAAGGGAACAGGTCGTTATTTATATTCATTACAGTTAAGTATATGAACGTGTTTTGCATATTTACAGTCAAAATCTGTTAGTCAATACACCTATCAATATTATACACATATTATTTACATTTTGACTTTTATCTTATATAAATTCAACTAAATAAATTGAATTTAAAAAGACTTGTTTTTTTTTTTTGGAGGAAGATGATGGTATTCCAGTTACGATAATTATACATATACCTAACACAAAATACATTTATTGACAGGTCATGTCAGTGTTTTGGGGTCAAAAGTTGCACGTTTATATCTCATCCCTTTTTATCAAATCGCAAAATAATGGTGTAAAGCAATTCCTAACAGTGTTAAAAAATCACCGCTGGTACGACCAATTATTGTTATTGTTAGATTTGAAAGAAACAAAAGAATGATCTAAAATTTCGCTCAGATTGGAGATTTCGTGAATCCAATTCAAAGACTGCCTAAATCACAGTTTATCACAGCAATTCATGATTGGTTGATCTGTTCATGACCAGATAAATCCAGCAAAATTCTTGGCAAATTAGTTCATTATGTTTTAAATTTTCTATGTATATGTAGTTTAGAACGTTGTGTAACTTTAGATGTATGAGAGACGGACCTTACCCCATAACAGATATAATTAACTGATTAATTAAACTAATTAAACTACAATCTGTAATATAACATATAGACAACCCAACATACAGCAAATATTACAACTCTGGTAATTTAACTATAAAGAAAGTTAGAATGCTTTTCTTCGCAAGAAAGTAACTCTATTAGGTGAAGCTCATCGTAATACTTGAATAAAGCACAAAAAAGATGTAGAAATAGTTAATTATTTAGTAACATTTCTAATTCGGTTGAAAATCCATAAAACTTAGAAGTTACGCATTGAAATTCGTCCTTAACAAGCCAGCCACAATGTTTACAACTTTATCTTAAAATTTTCTTTTTTTTTCGAATCTATCATTGTATTTGTTCAAGTGAGAAAGGCCAAAGATTTCGCCGATAACATTTGATTTAATGCGCGTATTTATGATTGAAACATAACAAAACTCGTAATATACTCCAAACCTTCTATCCGACGACCTTTGAATTAAAAAGTAAATGAATGTATATTTCTAAGAACGACTAGTATCTTTTGTTAATGTATCTCAAGAAAATGTAAGCAGCTTAGCGGTTGATCAAAGATATTTAGCAAAACTTGATTATTATTTTGTACAGACATATTTTGTACAGGTAATTTAGAATCTTGTGGGCCATAACCTTGGGTTAGTCGGCGACAAAATATTAACCGTGTGGCCGTCATCGTTTACATGATTAACACTTGAGTCAATGGTCTCGAAGTGTACAATACGAAGCAAGAAAAAGGTTCGGTCCGTCCCTCGCTTATTTTGCGACCCATGACATTTTAAGATACCTCTAACATTCTTATCTAGTATATTTCTGGTAATATCTAAGGAAGGATTGTGTTGAATATTTTAAGAAAACGTAAGAGGTGACCATTAATTTTGGATTCCTATTTTTAAAACAAAAACTAAGCTCAACCTGAAATTGGATCATAAACTGTCATTTAGACCACTTTTAAGTGAAATTCATACGAAAATAAATTAATGAGCTTTTCCATACCCTAATTAGGTAAAAAATTTTTGTTGTTTTTGTGAGATATAATGTCTACAATGTAGATTTTAGGGAGAAGTTACTTAGTAATGTTCAGGCAGTGTTTTTGGCAGTAATAATTGTTGAAACTAATGATAGGTGAGCATCGACGCAGGTTTTAATTATTTTTAGTTTGCGAATTCCTAAGAGCGCGGCGAATATAAATAAATAAATTGCAGAATACTTGATATAAAAATGTAGTTTGCTATTAGGTCAAATCGCAAATAACGTCAAGGNATAAATTAATGAGCTTTTCCATACCCTAATTAGGTAAAAAATTTTTGTTGTTTTTGTGAGATATAATGTCTACAATGTAGATTTTAGGGAGAAGTTACTTAGTAATGTTCAGGCAGTGTTTTTGGCAGTAATAATTGTTGAAACTAATGATAGGTGAGCATCGACGCAGGTTTTAATTATTTTTAGTTTGCGAATTCCTAAGAGCGCGGCGAATATAAATAAATAAATTGCAGAATACTTGATATAAAAATGTAGTTTGCTATTAGGTCAAATCGCAAATAACGTCAAGGAACTTTGATTGTTTCGTACAATTCCTTGTTTTGGAACCTCATTGTAAGCACAATCAATTGTTAGATATTATTTTATCGAACACTATTACGAAAACCTTCGTTTGTTTAAAATACCCTCTGTTTGTCGGAAACGTAATTAGTAAATAAAAATAAATAAAAAATAAGCACTCACAGTCAACAATCGTCCTCAAGTGGGCATTTGATCGGGCGTAATAGTCCTGAAACAAAAAGAAATATTGTTACTAAAAGGATAAAGCTTCGGCAGATTCTTTTTTGTATATACAAAATGAAAACACATCTAACAAAATTTTTCTGTCTTTACGAAGGAATTTCACGTCATTCTCGACAAATAGTTTTCATGCGCAATTCTCTCAATGAAATTAGAGCTATCTTGGTTAATAAACTTGAAAACTATCATCTAAGACGTAATAAAAGGAAGTCGTACACAGAAGGGTAAGTCATTTCTAATTCTATTTTATTCCCCTCGAATTGCAAGTCTGAATAAAAAACATTTTAATTATCTCTCAAGAATCTTAAAGTTTAAAGACCCTAAAACGATTATACACATAAAAAACAGCATTTTAGCAATATCAATATCTTTGTTTTCTACCTTAAAAATGGTTAATTTCATTTAATTTGAAATTCAAATATTCAAGTTTAGAATTCGTTCAAGAAGTTTTAAATTAAGTGAATATTTTACACCGTTTGATACTTTCGACGGTCCTTTGAATATTAATATTGAAACTGCAATTCATCATTTCTAATGTAGAAAACAACGACATCAACAGAAATTCGAAAAAGATTGTTAAAGGTGTACGTTTGGGGAGCGGCGCTGTACGGGTGCGAAACATGGATGGGAGGCGCGGCAGAAAAGCAAAGGTTAGAAGCGTTCAAAATGTGATCTTACAGATGAGGATACCGGGGATAGAGAAGGTTAGAAATGAAGAAATACTAGAAAGAATAGGAGAACAGAGGACTCTATGGAAGTCAATAAGAAATAGGCGAGATAGGTTGGTAGGACACCTTCTCAGGCATGTAGGTCTAGTCAAAGACATTAGAGGCAGAAGCGGGAGTTAGGAGGGGTTGAGGTAGTCCTAGATTAGATTACTGTTCGCAAATAGTTAAGAATGTGGATTGTTCTTAGGGTTGCCACCTTTTCAGGCTTTACATAAAGTATTTCTCGACTAAATGGTTCAAAAAAAAAGTACTCAGCGTAAAAATAAAGTATTTTATTTTTTGTTTTTAAAAACATATTTTTTGTTACACCTAGCAGCCAGTAACAAATTGCTGTCGCTCTTAAATATATTAATAGCCTCTAAACATGGCAAACAAAGATTTAAGTAAACTAAAAGTTCATTTTTAATTAGTTTTAATGAAGCTTTATTCCTGTCGTCCCGCCACTTTGCGTTCATAACAGAGAATACTCTTTCTGTAAATGCTGA